CACCCCTCCCCACGTTTTGGGTTTTTTCTTACTGTTATCACTGGATAAAAAGTCAGAACGGACTGCAAGGTTGAGGATGCCTGCTAATTTCTTCAGCATCTCCCGCTCCCTCTCTGACTCCGGAAAAAGTCCGAGTTGCCGGCGGGTGGTTAGAGGCTTCTAGCGGGGCGAGGGTCTGGGTGTCACCTCCTTAACTAAAGAATAGTCGACTTCAAATGAAAGGTTGGGGGCATGGGAGTGAACATGAATTGGCTGGCGGAGGTGGAGGAGGTGACATCTGATCCCTCTGCATGTGCCTCAGGATCCCTAGACAAATAGAGATCAACAGCTTCCCGTGCATCAAATCATCTTAAATGATTTTAGAATACGGAAGGGATATGTGTGCACATCGACATCTTTAGCTGTATACAGGACAGCGACATTTTTCATAAAGTAGAAGGAGATTAGAAGTGGCCTCATAGAGTCTTAGGAAAAACTAGTAAGACCTCGGCTACCAAGGCTCACTGCCCAGCGCAGAGTTTCGAGTTCGACACCCTGACCTCGGAGGATTCCCCCTCCAGCCTGCAGCACCCCAAGCTCCCGGGACTCCCGCTCCGAAGGCCTGCGCCCCAGCCCCCACCAAGCGGGGCTTTACTGTCGCCCAGGACTTCCGCAGCAGCGGGCCATCAGGCTGCCCGGGTGGCAGCCACGGCAACCCGAGCCTCTGGTGCCCCTTAGCGTTGGCTCTCGGAGTTCCGAGAAGGAAAAGCGACAGTCGCGCTGGGAAAACCAGGGGTTCTCTCGACCCCGCCTCACGTGGATCAGTGCTGGGGGCAAACAGCAGTCTCGTTTTATCTGAAGGCCCTGCCCACTTCGCCCCTCACTCCCACCAGCGCTGCGAGGGCAGGAGACCGTCCCGGGGCCAGCGCCTCCCCGTGCGCGCGCACCCGGAGCGCAGCACTGTCCTGAGCTCTCTCTGGCTGTCGCAGAGGGCAGCGGTTTGTTCCACCGGGCACTCACTGTGTCAACCTCCCTTCCCTGCTTTCTAATGACTCTACTATTCTGTAGGGTGCACATTCACATGGGCAGTATTAGGGTGCCATCATTCTAAGCAGCTATGTTGAGAAAACAAAAGGATGGATCATCCGTATTCACATTCCTTAAGTGTTGGCAGGAGGGAGAAGTAGGTATTTTTTAAAAGGTGAGTTAGTTGCAAAAGATAATGGGCCGGATTCAACCAACCAGTCCTTTCTGCGGAATACTAAATTTTACCTATGTAAACTGTAAGTTTCTAAAAACGATATGCAGTGACCGTCAAAGCTTGGTGCAATCTGACAGCTTGTTGATCTGTCATGTAATATTTTACAAGACAACCTGTATAAGTATACCATGCTGGCACTTTGGCTTTTAATGTGTTGAATTTTAGCTACATAAAAGATCTAGAAACTAAAAGATATACTTTCTATGGCAGGTTTGTCCTTACCTTATAGCACCTTTCAGTAGGCAAATTTCCATGTTGAAAATTAAACATGAAATGAAAACATTTTATCTGAGCTTTGTATAGGAAGCCAGCATAAGCTGAGGAAATAGTCTTTTCAATTCTTCTCTCTTTTGATAGTTTAAATTATTTTGATATTGAATACAATATTCTCTCAACCAGTGATATGGATAAAGATATCCTTTGGAAAAATCCCTGTAAATTTTAGAAAGCATTTTGTTTGGTCCTCTACTTTTTAAAATTTAAAACGTCAACCCTCTTAAACCAAATCAGATTTAAGTACAACATAAAGTCCGCTTGTAGACCTAAGTGAATATATTGGTGTGACATTTTCTATTGTATAAATAAATACATGTGGAAGATAATATCAGAAGTATTGATTTCTACTTCTCAATAAAAGACCTTGCAGAACATGAAATTGAACATATTCTAAATCCTGAAATGATTCTCCCCCTCTTTTGTTTTGAACTTGTTGGCCCTCTATGATAAAATATAGATGATGTGTAATAATCCAAGGCCTTTCTCTCTATAAACACAGGGTGAGGATATTTTTTTAATTAAAAAAAATTTAAGGAACTTTTTTGCTTATTCATCTATTTTTATCTCTATCTAGAGGCAGTTGTTTAATACCTGGGTTACAGGATTTAATTTCATACTTCTTTCTCTTACCTTCCTCTTCATTTTTCTTCACGCTGTTTCTTCCTAATCTAAAGATGCTGCCTGGACAGGTTTATATTTTTCTTGATCTCTACTATGCAAGATAGAAAGCTCAGACAATCCTTGGCTAAGAAAATCCTTGGCTAAGGAAGTCCACATGGTGTCCTTGAGTGGGGAAGCTCACACAGAAAGTTCACAGGCAGACTAGACTGAGTTTCAGAGCAAAAGATGATCTGAGAGTGACTGGCTTTTTAATGTAAGAAAGCAAAATCCGCCAGAGCCCTTCTGCTACCCCGAAGTGAGAGAGGTGGGCAAAGTGACTGTTAGGGTTCCAAGGCTGAAGTGCCTGACTGGACCCCCACTCCCCAGCTGTGCACCACCCAGCCACCACCCAACCCTGCTTCCTCCTGCCCCGTGTGCCTCTGATCCTGGCAGTTTGGACTTTCAGCTCAGGTCAGACTTGCTCTTGTTCACAGGGGTAAATAACACCCCAAGTGAACGTAAGGAAGACCTGAAGTTACGCTTCCAAGGAAAACGTGGCAGATGTTCTACTGAAATGAATTACCATATTTGCTCTTTTTTTTCCCTCAAAATACATATTTCTTGTCCCAAGTCCAGCACATCACAATTCTTACTAACTCTCTTCCCCAACTGCACCACTCCATGCACATTTTCAGCTTCAAATTTCATGTCCGGTAGCCTGGAGTTGTGCTCTCTGTTGAGCTCTCTCGCTACTGACAGACAGACCCATTACCTAGGGGATGGACTTTAAAGCCAAGGATCAACAGAGCTATTGCAATCAAAGCATTCACAACCACTCCAGACAGTGTTCCCCGGCATCGCCTCTACTGACACATGGGATCAGACGCTTCTCCAGCATGGGGTGGGGCTATATTTCGCACGAGGTTCAGCCGCCTCTCCAGCCTCTACTCACAGCACACCTGCAGCACACGCACCTCTCCCCAGTTTTGGCAACTACAAATGTCTCCGAGCACTGCCAAATGTCCCCTGGGAGCAAAATCACCCTCGTTGAGAACCACTGCTCTAGAAACATCTCAAAGTGGTGGTTTCTTAATTCATATCTGCATGGGAGAAGTTCTGGCATCACAGATGAACCTATAACTTCTGCTTTATATACAGGGAACTTACAATCGTCACCCAGAATCACCACCTCCTCATACATCTCTTGTTACAGAATACTTTTAAAAGACTAATATTGAAAATACTGCAACACCCTTAACCTCTCTCTTCTCTATAGAAAGTTAAGGGGATAAGTGACAGTTACTTAAATCTGATTAATGTCAGAATTTTTCTCCATAATTCCGATAAAAATATTATTTATTAACCAGACTGTTTATTAACCAGGCAACTGTCTGCTTGTACTTTATACATAGTATGTAATAAACTGAACTAAATATATGTGTATATGCTCATAAATTAATTACTGTTATTACATGCACATTAAATACAATATGCACATTGTAGAAAATTACAAAATGCAAACAATTTGAAAAGTCTTAAGTAATCCCAACACCCAGATATAGTCACTATTTCCATTTTGCAGTATCTCTCTAACATTTATTTTATATTATGAAACCCCTGTTTTGTGACATTTACTAAATCAGATTTCTTTTAAGGACTGAAGTAGGAAGTCTGATGGCATACGTATTCACATGTACTAGATAATACATTTTCCCCTCAGTACTGCATTGTTAATTTTAACCAGAGACACACAAATTCTAATGGTGTCTCAAAATATTAGCATCTCTCTTTTTCCCTGAGCTTGTGATTAAATCAGAAAGAGAACTAGGAATGGGGGAAAAAAAGAAATGAACAATATATAAACTTAAAGGTTCATTACTCTCAAACAAGGGGAAGAAGCAAAGTCAGGCTCTGTTATTTTTATCTTAGTATTAGTCATATCTAGCCA